CTGATCCAAAACAATAGGTTTTGCTAGCTTTGTTCTAAAATTAGATATCTTATTACCCGGGTAAACATGTGATGAAGCATTCGAGAAGAGGCTTACATAGAAGCCTGCATTGTTGTTCTTTTTATTCATGCTTTCTCAGTCTATGCTCAGTGTTGAATGAATGTGTGTAGAGCTGCGTCACCTGAGTTAATTACGCCTCAACGATGTCTTTTTCTGGAATCCACGAATTAAAGCTGTTGGGCCATCCTAGCCATTTCACTAGCACCTGCTTTTTCCGACCCACTTTTTTTCTAGCCAATATGTTTTCAATTTTAAATGTTTTGTTTTCATCAACAACCACACGTTGTATCTCAGGCTCATAAAATGACCCTTTCAATACCTCTCCTGCTAGATCCACTAGTCTGTACACTGGGGGCTGTCTCCCTATACGTTCCTTGACTGTGAAAATCTCATCGGTGTAGGTCTGCTCGTATCCTTTTCGAAACTTTCCTCTCAGTTTTGATATTCGTACAGTGTCACCAATATTAAATTTAAAGCGCAGTTCCCTCTGAGGCCTCGTTTTGTACAGCGCGTTGAAGACCGACTTCTCATTATCCTTATTCACCTCTGCCGGAGCCATTTGGATAGATCTGTGATAAGCATTGTTATATGCTTGTGTGAGATCTGGTATGACATCTACATATCTCCGGGAGTTGGCTGATGTTAAGTACTTCCACATTCTACCCTTGAAGCTACGATTGAATCTCTCGACAATACTGCATTTAACCTCGCTAGCTGTTGAGAAATGCTTGATATTATATCGCTTCATTAGCTGTTTAAAAGTTGCATTATAAAACTCTTTGCCTTCATCTGTTTGTAGTTTCACAGGGATCCTACCCTCACTAAGTATATCCTCAAAAGCAGCTGATACAACAGTCCCTGTCTTGTTTGTTAGACATCTAACCCATGCGTATTTTGAGAATACATCTATACATGTTAGCAGATATCTCACATTATCATTATCTGCCACATATTCACACATGTCAACCAGATCGGCTTGAAACTGTTTGTCGACCCCTGTCACCAATACTCTATTTCTGGGGAAATGGATCCTCGCAGGTTTGTGGAGTGTGTAAGTGTCGTCTTGTTCTAAATAATGTTTGACCTGAGATAGTGGAGGTGTTACATCTGATGCCTCCCCTGCTGCTATACGTAGCTTATTTAAACTGGCCAACCCCGCAGGATGGGCTGGATCATGATATATTTTATGCAATGTGCTTTCCATGATTTACAAACCACAAATGACTAAGATGTTGATGTTAACAAGTCTTTTTATTTAATTTTCACAAAGACACAATCACAGACAATGGATACTTGAACAGCACACATTAAACCAGATGTAACCCAGCCCAGTAGTTTCCAATCATGCGGAGCATGGCTGGTTTAACACGGCGGGCACAAGTACTCGCATCTAGCAGGTGCCCAATGTTGTCATTAATGGCGCATACTATATATCGCTCTGATCTCAGTTCACACATGATGTGTTCTGCAACTCTGCGGATTTGTGTTCCAGACCCATCTGCAGTGGATGAGCGTACAAACAGCCGGATGGCAGGGATGAATCGGTCAGTCTGGAGCCTTATCATCACATCATCATAGTAGGTGTCGAAGAAATACTCAGACAATTCCTGCAAGCAGCTGTGTTGCACCTGACTGGGGTGGCCTGTTTGGCATCCGTAACATGTCTCTTGTATAAACTCATTCAAAGCCAACATTAACAGGTGGAGAGTTGCGAGTTTGATGTCGATTACAGTTTCATCCCACAGGTCTGATATGAGGGGGTCCTGCGAGCATTGTGGTGAGGGTGGCGGAGTCTGGGGGATCGGGATTAGCAGCTCTGTTGATGGTGACTCCAACAGGTCCCACGAGGGCGTGTCATTCTCTGTAAAATGAAAACCACAAGCTCTTAATTTGTCACATAGATACACACTCAACCCCACACACCCGCACATTAAACCTACCAGTTTATTGTTTAGCTGTCGGAAGGTCTTATGATTTTAGGTTTACACAGGGTACCAGGCAAACCAGTCTTCGGACAACTCGCCAGATCGTCAAAAACAAGGCGCTTTCTAATACTCTCGTACGCAGTGTTGAGTCTGTCCCTCTTGATCGCGTCATCAATCTGGCTAAACAGACGCGACAAACCTCTCCAGTCGCACCACTGTATAAAAAACAAGTCCTTAAACCATCTTGTGCGCTCTTCGAGGTTTAGAGGGTATGGATTTAACCTCCAGTTTTCAAGCCCTCTGGAAGCAATAAGACTATCCCTGTCATCACATACACTGAGAAAAATAAAGTCGTCGGGGTTGCGATTGAAACGATCAGCCTCAACCCTGTAAAGCTCAGGGCCTGATGCACTGTTCCACTGGGAAACATACAGCAGCTCTGGGAAACCCACATTGTCCAGGTCCGCACACACTACGGTGCGGAAGAGCTTCCAGTTTTTAGTAGACATGACTTGGGCTTCCCCCCAAAACAATCCCTCACCACAATCTACACTAAGCACAACTGTCCCTTCGGTATATTTAATGGCATACACATACCCTTCGACGCCTCGATATTCTAACTTAAATACAGTTCCATCTGCGGCGTTTCCACAGCGTTGCTTTTTACGTTGAGGACCCCGACTGCATACTCCTGAAGACATACCTAGAGTGCCTGTGGCATGGGCGATGTCCTGGCTGGGTGTCATTCCGAGCTCCATAGGTCAATGCGTCGGGGATCCTTAGCGCGATGTGTCGGTGCTCTAGGTCGATGCGTCGGGGATCCTTAGCGCGATGTGTCGGTGCTCCTCAGGCCGTGGCGGTGATGCTCTTAGAATGTGAAAGGATCACTTTTATACCCATACAACCTAGCACATCCCACTAGGAGGAGTCGTTCCCGCCCAGAGGGTAAGAACACCTGAACGCGCATGCGCACACGCACGAAACCGGTCAAATCGGTTGTCAAACCGGTAAACCGGTTTGGTTGGCCGCCATCTTGGACTAGTGCCATCGTATTACTGAACGCGCATGCGCACACGCACGAAACCGGTCAAACCGGTTGTCAAACCGGTTTGGTTGGCCGCCATATTGGACAGGTGCCATCGTATTACTACTAGCCTAATCTTAAAAAGTAAAGATGGTGTCTCTCTCCCAAATCTGGTTCCACAGAAGAGGGGCGTGAAAGCTGAATGCTCTGCCTCCTATTTTACTTTTAAATACTCGAGGAACCAGAAGTAAGTCTGAGAGCAAGTGCTGTAATGGGGTGATACAGTTCTGTAAGGTTTTTAAGAAAAGATGGGGTCTGATTATTTGATGAGAAGGACTCTTACTGCAGAATTTTGGATCAACGGAAGACTTTTCAGCTGTTTTTAGGACAACTTGATAATAATGAAACTAGTTTTTCAGCCTCACTCTGCTACAGGATGTTTCTAATTTTAGAGATATTGCCCAAATATCTCTTAGATAAGATTAAGACAATTCATTAAACTTATTATCTTGAGTGTATTTAGTTACCTTAGGTTAAACCAACATTATTATTCTATTTTGAAAATAACATATGTCTGATAAACCGCAATTTAACCTGTTTGCAATATATATTTTTCTTGTTCATTTTATGTTACATTTAAAAATATACAGCCTGTCTGCAGCAATGTTAACCAGGCTTAAAGCTGATGTTACACTAATCTCCAAATCCTGACTCATGGTACAGGCCTCTGCTCTGAGCTCTCGCACGTTTTGGTTGATTTTGTTTGCTTAGCTGTTTTGGTGTTGGTCCTCCCTAAAATATTTTTGAACTTCATGAGCTGTCTCTAAAAAGAAATTCAAATGCTGACAAAACTGGTACATGAACATAAACACCCTTCCTGTGGTTTTGCCTTATCAGCTTCAGTCATGTGTGACGCATGTGTGAAAAGTGCTTGACACCTCACAGAACGCACTTTTTAGAAAGTGAAAATGTTTGAACTTAGATAACTTTGTTTTTGTTTTTTTTACATAAAACGTTTATATATTACCTTAGTTTTTGTTCTGTGTGATTTTTAATTTAATAAAATGTTCCTTTCTCTCATCTGACAGCACTCATCATGGGCATTAATGCCATTGTATTTTGGGACTTTTAACGATTTCTTTGAACTGCTCTTTTTCCCTGCATCAAAATGACGACCTTTCCAGAGACATTAATAGGCCTTGTCAAGTTAAAATACTTTGTATAACCTTCAGAACCAGTTATTACAGATGTGAGTGTGTATATATCAAATCAAATAAAAACACATTTTTTTATATACACAATCATACACAATATGACATGCAGTGAGATGCTTATAGCTGTGCAACTGCCGACCAGATAAAAGAATAAAACTAAATTTAAAAGTCAAGTATAAAAGTTAAAAATCAAAATTAAAAAGGTGTGCAAATCAACAGTGTGCACACTGACAGTGAACAGTTATGAGTTATGAGGTATATTACTGAAGTACATTATTGTTGTTGTTGTTGTTGTTAAGTGCTTGTGCAATGATGTGTAGAGATATATAGATAAGAATATTTCTGTTTGTATGTAAACTCTGGCCCAGTGCGGACTGAATAAAGTCTAAAATAAATTGTGTGTTTTTTAACAGCGTGTGCTGTACAGTCATTGCACCCTGGAAAAAGAACAGTTCAAAGAAATTATTAAAAACCCACAAATTACCAAAAGTTTCACACCCACGATGAGTGTGTGTGTAAACCTATCATGTAAATTATTTTGATGAAGAAGTTTAGTTTGCATTTTGTATCTGGTATTTGTAAAAGCACCACAATATCGCTTCACTTGTTTATGATATTACCACCCAGTCTCACATCCATACAACACAATACACACACACACACACACACACACAAAAAAACAACAACATCACACACACACACACACACACACACACACACACACACACACACACACACACACAGAGCAGCAGTTCCTTTAAATTTCAGACCTGAGCTGATCAGGACACCAGCTGAACATCATGTTTTGCTGTTGCATATTTTTGGCTGTTTCTTTGTTGCATTCTCTGTGTCACTTCCATGTGTCAGGCTACGGTAAGTTCTCACACATGTGGAGTTTTGTTACTGTGTTTATAAATGGCAGTTCTATTTTTTGCAATGGTCTTATTTACTGTACATTATATTAAACGATTAAATTATGTGATTTTCACATGTATTGTTTCACAATATATATTTATCGTAATTTTCTTAATTTACTTTTCTCAGTATTGTGCCTTCCTTATTTTCTGTGTAATAGTTATCATCTATATCCTTTTAAGTGCCAGACAGTGCATAACATATGAAGTGATATACTGTAACTATATGTGTAGTACAGTATTAACCACTTTCTTAGCTAATGGAGCAAAGCCTGGGAGCTACTTCAGGCAGGCTCTGCATCATGTATCAATTTGTTGGTTTATTTAACGTTCACATGTCATGGTTTGAGTGTTTTGAGCGTTTTGAGTTTTCCTTTTGATTTATGATGCTTTGCTTTATCAGGATGTTTAGGTCAGAGTTTTGCTCCTCTAATGTTTTGTATTATTTTGTGTTCACGTTTCCTTCCGTTACATTGTGAAGATGTTTTAAGTTCATTCAGTTTAGTCTTGAGTTCAGTTTTTTTATGCTGTTGAGTTTATTTGTATCTGTTTTTGGGCTCTGTCTCTTTCCTGTGTCTCCTGTGAGTCTGCCATGTCCTCTGTGTGTTTTTCCCCAGTCATGTCTGTGTTTGGTCTCGCTCCCTCCGTGTCTCGTCTCCCGTAACTGTTTCCATGTTTCCCTCTTTGTGTGTCCTTCCTTTGTCTCTACAGTTGTCTTGTGTCCATTTGCGTTCCTTCCTCCAGCTCCGCCTTCTCGCTCCATGTTCCCACATCCAGGTCTTGTGTTCCGTGTTCTGTGTTTAGTGTTTAGCTTTAGTTCATGCAGTTTAGTTTGTAGGTTAAGTCTCTGTTCTCATTTGCCTCTTATTTATATTTTCATTCAACCCAAATAAACGGCTCGCCTTTTGTTTAAACTCACTCCCTTTTTCAAGTGTCTGCATTTGGGTCCTCATAATCTCTCCACACTGTCCGACATCAGAATTTCTCATCTCTCTCTGTCGCTTACTGTGTAGGACAGGGTGACTATGTCTTTATGACACACAAAGCTGGAGATTCAAGTCAAATCTAAAAGTTACTTTAAGACAATCAATGATTAATTATCATTATTAACTGCTCAAGCAAAGTTAGTTATCATTTAAATGCTTAGCAGGGCCTCAATTTGCTCTAAAACAGCCTCAGTTCTTCTTGCTCTTGAGTCCAAAAGATGTTGACAGATTTGTCCCATTCAGTCTAGAGATGGCACGATACCACTTTTTTATGCTCCGATACCACGATATCATAAATTTGGATATCGGCCGATACCGATATGAATCCGATATAGTGTGTTTTTTAATCAATAAAACGTTTTTTTAATATCTTGCTGCTTTTTGTATAAGTTCATACTCAAGTTAAAAAAAAAACAAAAACACTAAAGCTATTCTGTTATACCTGTATGCAAAAAATCACTGCACCCAAAATATTTCATAGTTCAGCAATACTGATCAATCTAATAAACTTAAACCTACTCCATCCTCCCTATTCTGGTATTGTTAAAGAGTAAGCAACCTAACTAATAGGGTTCTAAAACTCCCAGCAAAAAAAAATAAAAAAAATAGGGAACCCCACCCTCCACCTCATGATGCTTAATCGACGTAATCAACTTTAATTTGATGCAGTGTGAAAAAAAAATGCACAGAAATAAATTATTTTTCAAGAATAATTAAATAGATTCAACATCTTTCTTCAACAGAACTGCAGACTGCACAGATGGTACCTTCCCAAAGGAAAAAGTACTATAGCTTACTAGGGTATATTAGACTTAACAGTTACTATATACAGTAATGGACTTCTATACATTTTACATCAGATTAAAACTTTGGGTGTAAGATTCAGATAATTATTTATTAAAAGCTAGACATTTTAAATGAGAATAAGAAAGAAAAGTATGTCTTTGTGCCCCCTTTTCCCTGTTAATGCCCTATCGGCCCCCCTGGCTAAACTTTGCTAGATCCGCCCCTGCACAGTTACCAGCCGTCAGCTACGTAGAAAAAGATCCTGTAGAAAGTAATATTAAATAAATTCTAACAACAGCTTATCAAGCTTAAACGTGCTGCTGTTGTTCAGCCGCTGGTTTCCTCTTTCTGGTGCAAAGTGGGCCAAAAACAAACAAGAGAGACGGACTCGCGACAGAAAAGCCGATCAGCTGATCATTGATCAGTTTCATGATTGAAGTAGCAGCAGGAGAGGGAGGGAGAGAGAAGAGGCAGTCGCTCCATATATCGGTTGTTAAGCTTAACGCGGGAATGCTTTACAAACATTCAGAGATGAACTTACACACTTGCTTTACTTCTCTCTGGGATCACTTCCTCGGAGATGAAATGCTGGTTTGGTAGCGAGGCTACAAATACACACAGCCGCTCTATCACGTGAGCACACTGCTCCGATGTGCTACGGTTATGAGGAGAGTTACGCCGTGTCGAAAGTTTTGTGAGGTGCTTTTTTGATATTTAATGGATCGGATTACATTTTTTATTTTTCTCCGATATCCGATCCAGTAATTTATGTCAGTATCGGACCGATACCGATACGTAATATCGGATCCATCTCTAATTCAGTCAGTCTGTTTTTGGTTTGGAGACACCTGTGAGAAAAGATGTTGGAAAACTTTAACTGTCCAGATTTGGTGGAGCCTGTCTCTCTGCAGCCTCTGATTTCTGTTTTGGCTTGTTGAAACCCAACATGCATTTGTGCTGCTGTAGCCTCGAGGACAGATGCTTTTCTGTCCAGCACAGTTGCAGGTGAAATCTAAATGACCATAGTCTGCCCTTTCTCCTCTGGCCTCAACAAGCCACTGTCTCTGCAGAAGTGCTGCTCACTGGATGTTTTTGGTTTATCACATCTTTCAGAGTTACTGAAATGTGAATCCCAGGAGATCGACAGTTTCAAATATAGTCAAACGTTATCACAGTTTAAGCGATCGCATATTTTCTACATCCTTATATTTGTCACAGACAGCTGATCGATAATTTTAATCATATTCTTAACTTTTCACTTTCATGGGAATTTCTCCCACCTGCTTCATGGACATCATCATGATCTCCTGTACATGAAAAAGCTCATCCTCAGACAGGGTGCAGGCTTCAGTCATTTGTGACGGGCTCAGATTGGACCTGCTACACTTATACATTGAAAGCAACTGAGGTGAGCAGGATGGATGGTAAATATTTTCCTTGCAAATAATTGCATGTAATGTTTTTTTCTTACAGATCCTAGCTGCACAGAGTATCCTGTGTTCACTCCATCTGCGCTGGTAGTGAAGTACGGTGACCCAGCCAATGTTACATGTGTTGTATGTCAGAAGGACTGCAGTGGAGATGCTTCAGGTTTGGAGCACGCTGTGGGAAATGTTACACAAAATGGAACCACGATGTTCTGGACGGTTGACAGACTGACTGACTGGGAATTATCTCTACTGTGCTATTATACCAATGATGCTGGCGATCAGTGTACTAGCATTCTGAATCCAACTCTTTATCGTAAGTATGCTTACTTTAGAAAATGAGACTTTTTAGTGGATTTTACATCATCTGTGATCTAAATTTAATCTCTTTGTGTTAATACACAGTTAGATGGATTCATGCTCTCAGCGGTTACTGACTGACATCTACCTGTGTTACTCTTTCTTTCCTTGTCTTCTCAGAGCCTCCAGAAAGTGTCTCCATCAGCTTTGTAAACCACACTGAGATGATGTTTGAGAATCAGCAGTACACCCTGCAGTGTAGCGTACAGAACGTAGCTCCTGTTCAAAGCCTCACTGTGACCTTCTACAGAGGAAACACAGCACTGGGTCACCTACAGTCCGACAGTGAACAGAAGAAACCAGTGAATGAGACCTTCACTCTGAACATCACCCCCAGTAGAGAAGATAATGGGGCCCAGTACTGGTGTGAAGCCAAGCTGGAGCTGGGACCAGCTGGACCACAGCCCCCTCCAGTGGTGACATCAGAAAAGCTCCCTGCTATAGTTCACTGTGAGTCTGAGGGGGGGGAAACAGATTTACATTTACATGTGTAATTTTCATGGCTCTTTATGTAATGTAAGAGGTTTCAGTGCCTCAAATCATTTTCCCCATTTGTTCAATTTTCCATTGGATTATGACGAGAATACAATTTCTATCCTAAGTCTCAGACTGAAGACACATCTCTGACCAGTGAGACTCTGATCTTTTAATATCAATATATATCTAATATACAGTGGGTACGGAAAGTATTCAGGCACCCTTAAATTTTTCACTCATTGTTATATTGAAGCCATTTGCTAAAATCATTTAAGTTAATTTTTTCCTCATTAATGTACACACAGCACCCCATGCTGACAGAAAAACACAGAATTGTTGACATTTTTGCAGATTTATTAAAAAAAGAAAAACTGAAATATCACATGGTCCTAAGTATTCAGACCTTTTACTCAGTATTTAGTAGAAGTATTTTGGGAAAGATGCAACAAGTTTTTCACACCTGGATTTGGGGATCCTCTGCTATTCCTCCTTGCAGATGCTCTCTGATTCTGTCAGGTTGGATATAAACGTTGGTGGACAGCCATTTTTATGTTGGGTTTAAGTTAGGGCTCTGGCTCGGCCATTCAAGAACAGTCACAGCGCTGGTGTGAAGTCACTCCTTTGTTATCTTAGCTGTGTGCTTAGGGTGATTGTCTTGTTGGAAGGTGAACCTTGGGCCCAGTCTGAGGTCCAGAGCACTTGGGAGAAGGTTTTTGTCCAGGATATCCCTGTACTTGGCCGCATTCATCTTTCCCTCACTTGCAACCAGTCGTCCTGTCCCTGCAGCTGAAAAACACACCCACAGCATGATGCTGCCACCAACATGCTTCACTGTTGGGACTATACTGGGCAGGTGGTGAGCAGTGCCTGGTTTTCTCCACACATACCACTTAGAATTAAGGCCAAAAAGTTCTCAAAAATAATCTTATTTCTCACCATCTTGGAGTCCTTCAGGTGTTTGTTTGTTTTGTTTAGGGCGACCGTGGCTCAAGGGGTTGGGAAGCGTATCTGTAACCGGAAGGTCGCCGGTTCGATTCCTGGGCTCTCTGTCCTTGTCGTTGTGTCCTTGGGCAAGACACTTTACCCTAC